CGTTCAGTTTGGATGACAATGCACGATAAGGTGTGTCACGTTATTCTAAATCCAATATGGCGGACTATCCAAGATGGCGGAATAGCTATTTTCGATATTCGTTTACAATATGGGTATCAAATGAAAAGGCTCGTTGAGAGTAACTCGAAAAATGATGTGACGTCATTCTAAATCGAATATGGCGGACCATCCAAGATAGCGGAATGGTAATTTTCAATCTACTTCTACAATATGGGTATCAAATGAAAGGGCTCGTTGAAAGTAATTCGAAAATTAATGTGCCGTTATTCCAAATCCAATATGGCGGACTATCCAAGATGGCGGAATAGCTATTTTCGATATACTTTCACAATATGGGTATCAAATGAAAAAGCTCGTTGAGAGTAACTCGAAAAATGATGTGACGTCATTCTAAATCAATTATGGCGGACCATCCAAAATGGCGGAATGGTCATTTTCAATATACTTCTACAAATCAAATGAAAAGGCTCGTTGAGAGTAAATCGAAAATTCCAGCTAGCGATAACTAAAAATTAAAAAATAAATAAAAAGTAAATTTATTACTACTGAAATTATAAAGATTCGTAGCACCCAAACTATTTCATGAACGTGTCAACTGCGCAAAAACTGTCAAATTCTTGTCACATATAGACCAGTTGGGATGAAAATGAAAGACTCCGTGTGATATGATATTCTTTTATTTTGCCAAACCTATTTTTCTATTATCTCTTAAAAGGCGAAGAAGGTGATAACTCAAAGAAAAATAATTTCAAGCTCAGCATACTTTCGAAGCCAGTCCTAAGATTCAGTTTTCGTAGCACCCATTAATTCAAAAATTAATCATCGCCTATTTCATGATAGATAACGATGAAATTACTCTTAATGCATCAAGTTACTCGAGGGAAATATCCAAGACAACTTTTTATACGCGTATAATTTTAATTGGGTACAAAGCGACTTCCTTATTACTTTCAAAATGATTGTAATAAATATCGATTGGAGTTATGGCATCTATTGCCAATCGGACAACCAAAATATCATGCATATTCAATGACGACCGGTATATGAAATAAATTTCGGTAATTTAAATAATTTAATGAACGTTCCTGAAATAATGTTTGTACCTACTTAATTACCTCCAAGAATTTTTCGACAGTGGTGTACACATTGCAGAAATATGCAATGGATAAAAGCGACAATAAAAAATATTAATTAATCATTCATTTATTCAGATTCAGCACCTTGATCATGGCAACTTTTAATGGGTAGATCACGTGGGTCCAATAAATCACTATTGCATGAATTATTTTTATATGCAATAGTTCTCGACCTAGTGAATTTTCAGCTACTACTCAGGAATAACATTCCAAAAACATAAATGTCAACAGTTTCTTTTTTTTTCGTATTAGGAGTAATTATAAAGTTTTTAAATCTGCCGAATCCATCCAATTGGTATAATACAATTCGTTTCTAATTCAGTATCAAGACTTTTTTTAGGTGAAAATCACTTTTTTTTTTCTAAAAATAAGTGTCTGCAAAAGCTTCGTTACCAATCTACAGAGCGTTAGAGCGTTAACATTTCCAAGATTCTTCTTATTTTCCAGCACCTTTTCTAGAAATACAAGGTTCGTTAAGTTTCTTATTATTGCTCAGGTAATGTTTGAAAACGTTTTTGTATTCATTGTGATATAAGGTACTACCATTTTGTTGAAAATTTCAATTAAATTCTGAGAATAAATTATAAAAAATATTTTTTTCTGATGGATAACTGTCGCAGATGTGTAAAAATTACAAGAGAGAATGAAGTTTATAATAAAACAAATAACTCATTTCGTTTTTCAAAATCTATCGAAGGCAAACACCAAAAAACCATGGAGAAAAGAGAGGTTTGGAACCCTGAAAAAATATCTCCCTGTAGATTCCTACAATCACTCGGCAAAACTGTCTGATGTGAACCCCAAAACATAACCTATGTTTGAAACCTAATCTGAATATCTCGAAACCTAAAATAACTATAAAAAAATAAAGAAAAACATGTTGATTTTTTAATGCTCTGTAGATTGGTAACAAAGCGTTTGCGGACAAATGTTTATAGGGAACAAAAAGTCTAATTTTGATCTGAAAAATAAGCCCTGGAAATCTTGATACTGGATTTTGAAACACCCTGTATATCTGAGAATGTTTTTTTTATATTATCAGAATTTCTTTAAAAATAATACACCATCTGGTATTGTTGGCCTGATTTCAACGCAGCTTTTTTCTCGTAGCATATATTATGTTAATCGTTCTTTGGTCATCGTGATATATATTTAATAAAACAGTCTCACCTGTTCTCGATTTATTAATATTCATTAAAGTCTATGATTTCGATAGTGATACAAGCAATCAACATAAATTTGCACTTTTCGTTGTCCTGACCTTTTTCAAAAACTATAAAAATTGCAATGTTAATAAGAACCATGTTGAGAGCGATCGATAACTATTAATAAAACTACTGAAGAATACTTATTCTCATTAGTTTATCGTAGCATTCGTACATAATTTATTAATCCGTAGTAGGGAGAAGTTGTGTCGCAACAAAAATAAGAATGATGAAGGGAATCTAACATTTTAATGATTTTTTATAAGGATATTCCGTATCTTTAAATTCTTCATCATATATTAACGAAAATTGATATTTCGTTTGTTTATATCTTCCAATCGCCATTCAAGATGCACAAATGTTAATTTCGAAGCCCAGATTATTTGAATCAGGAATATTGTTGGCAACAATGGGGAAATTTCCAATATGGAAGGTTTTATCTCACTGTCCCATATCAACATCATTCATACGCATACAATGGATGTCCGATGTGTGTCTACAATGGACATTTCCAATATCTATTGGACGTCTGATTATGTCCAGAGGGACATCTAATGGATATCCATCAAATATCCATTTGTCACAAAAATGGACATCCAATGGATGTCCAATCCAATCCAGGTGATGGACATATCTTAGAAGTGAAAACAACAAATTAATGGCGTAAGGGGAATCGAACCCGCGATCTCTGACATATCAAAAGCACTTCTGAATTCATTTATTTTTTACTTTCTCATAAATAAATGGGCAAAGTCAACACGACAAACACATTTAATATAAGAGTATATATATAAAACTATCCTTCACGCGGTGTGGAGTTGGCTGGTGTCAGCCAGGGGGGTGTATGTTCTGCGATTAAAGTCCTAGTCAATGAATCTCGGCTCCTGAAATTTACTGGTCTGATGAGGGAAAATAAAAAATAAAAACCCTCTTTAGTGATGGTCGCCTTGGACCATATTCAGTTGCAACGCCCAGAATCGGCATCGGCTAAGCAGCCGGCTGGAGTAGCCCATGAACATGAGCAGTGAGCACATTTAACTCCAGCGTGTTGTCACGCTTGTCCAAGAATCTTCGCGAAATTTCATATTTTCAGGATGATCGAGTATCCTGCAGATCGATTGGGGTCGACTCATATATCAGTCCGTGCTTTTTATAGATTCCTTATTATTCGGCTTTAGTGGTCGTGATATTGCTGGTAAGCTCACTACCACTAAACATGTGTTCTTTGATTTTTGGTTCGGCTTCGATAGACGCTTCACCTCGCGAATGCAAAATTCGCTTGTCAACAAACAAAGTGTCACTTTTGATCCTAATGAAACAGTCTACTATTATTTTGAAAATTGCACACCAAACATTTTCGATCAATTTAAAGCCTGTAATTCGTATCGTTACCATAGCAACTGAACAAATTTCTTGGAAATGTTCGGGAGCATGAAATTACACTGAAAAATTTTTGACGTTTGTAGGTTAAATGACATTTACATTCAACTTCAAATTATTTCGAGTTCATTCTATAGGTCAATAAATAGAAATCATTCATCAACAGTTTACCATATAATATTATGTAGGTAAGTATATTTGCAAATTCGAAATTTACAAAAAACACATGTTGTTACTATACGTTGGTTCTTACATTTCATCACAAACAATCATCATTTTCAACTAAATCATCTAAGTGTTGTTGAAATTCCTTAGCTACGTCTTCTTTCTTCAATGGAGAATATAAAAGCGACCATTTACTAGAACGTATAAAATGTCTATGTTTCATGAAATATATGTAGTACTTTGAAACAATCTTATTCTCCTGTAATCCACGAAGTGCTCCATATTTTGCACAAACCAGAAGCCAATGATATTTGATAATCCCAAACAAATTCGGTGAATAAATTTCTGGCCCTCATTCTTCTACTAAATACGTTAAAAATTTTAGATTCCGATGATACTTTTTAATGTCACTAACTTCATTACAAAACTTGCATAAACCGTATTTCGCGAATCGCTTCTTCTCTACACACTCTACAACACAACGAATTTATTCAGATAACTAATACTCAGATAACCTTAAAAGACAGAATTACCTACTAGGTTTGAGTTAACATACAAAGTCTACTATTCAAATGTCAAAAATCGTCATTATCCAAGTTATTTTTTTAATAATATTTCAGTGTGAAATTTTCTTACCGAGTACCACTTTAGCTTCAATTAATATCCAGGAATTTTTTTCTCGAACACGAGTGTTTAGAATATTCAAAATATTCGTGTTCTCGAAAAAATTTCCGGAAATAATTGAAGCTCTCGTGAGTGAAAATTGAAACGACATTGACTTTATCGATCGCCAGTCCGTACAGTGAGTACATGAAACTGAGAAGTTCCGAACTTATTTTCTGAAAATTCATCTGAAGGAATCTTCCCCATTCGACTTTTTCAAATTTGCAATCCATTTTTTTTGTCATCGCTCTGATGCCACAGTGATTTACATTGCGCAGTTGTTAAAACCGTAGATCTCCCGTTACCTTTACTCACATGCAGAAGCCCTCCGAGGGACACTAAGGGTCGTTTTTTAATGACTTATAATAATGGCGGAATAAAATGGAATGGGCAGCATTGAAAAATTGTACATACACAATGAAATACTTACAGGTGAGATTTTATCGTCGTTGGTGTTGGTGGTCATCAGTCTTTGTCCAGCAGTAGCTGTTGTTGGTACATCCGCTAATCCCCGTACTTGCAACATTTGGGCAGTCTTTAGAAAATCTGTCAGGTGCTCTTGGCCTATGTGAACTTCACCGTTATACATAAACCTGAAAAAACAAAGAAAAATTAATAACTACAGTCGATTGCCACGCTTGAAAAGCTTGGAATTTTTTATGGGGACATTTTTCTGAATTCAATGATTTATAACAGGTTGACTCTCCTGCAGAATCGATTGGGGGACTCAAAACTTTCTATATACAGAGAAGTGCACAAAAAACCTCCAGGACTGTAACTTTTGAATTATTCGAGATAGGGTTTTGAAAATTGGTGGGCAGCTAATATACCAAATCGCTCATTAATTGACGAAACAATTATTGTCCTATCACTTATGGTTCTACTGGAAACGACCCCAACTTTTGATTTTTAAATGGGGCACCATAATCGGTTAGGGATTGTCATAACGAATTCATCGATACCGGGTTTGATAGGTTTATTCAGAGAACATCGTGAGAACCAAGAAAAATAAGGTAGGAATTGGTGTTCTTCTTGAATTTCTGGAGGTTATATGCCTCGGGGAACACCTCTCTTGGCAATGTGTTCCAGAGCCTCGCTGTTCGTTGGATGAACGAGTCTTTGGAAAGAGATATTCTGCAGGTCTATCTATCAAACCTGGTATCGTCTAATTCGTCATGATAATCCCTGACCGATTATGGAATACAATACAGGGTGTCCCATTTAAAAATCAAAAGTTGGGGTCGTTTCCGGTGAAACTGGAAGTGGTAGAAGAAAAATTGTTTCATCAATTAATGGGCACTTGATTGTTTCAAACTTTTCAATTCTGTTACTTTCATCAACACATAATATTTATGGTTTCGTTCCCCAACGAATTCAATATATTGAGTTTCAGGAATTTTCAATTCTCTTTCTTCCTTTGCAGTTATTATTATTTAAGTTCATATTGTGCCCACCTCGAATCTCAATATTCTCCCCATCTCTATTCCTTGTCAATGTCTGAATTTTCTCTATTTGATGTTCTATGTCATCCTTGTCACTTCATGTCAAAGCCATTCCTTTCAGATGGTTTTGAATTCGATTTTGACATCTCATTTCTTGACAAACTTTCGGCATCTTCAAGTGAATTTCCTTACTTCGATTCCGGTTAATCCAGTTTGATTATTTTTTAAGATGTTCCATCTAATAGTACCATAACACAGGTGATCCGCATTTTGCGGTCCCCTTTTTTATTAGTGTTGTAACAATTTGTCACTTTTTTGTTTTTAAATATGTGAACACAACTTTTTTGCTCCATAACAGGTGAGTTTTGTAGAACTGTCGTTATTGAAGACTTTTGTCTGACATAATACTTCTCTGTATAAAAATTTCAATTAAAAATTTCCATCCATCAGAAACATAATTGGAAAATATGTTTTTGAAAAGAAATATTATCAGATATATTATGAACATGGAGAAACATGGATACATGCAGGGTGTTATTTGAGTAGTTTTCAAGTGTTCTATGTAATTCTGAATATGACTGAACCCTTTACTACCATGAACTTGACTATGAATAACCCTGTCAAATTTCAACAGAATTGGGTAGAGTAGTGGATATTCACGAAGTAACCGTTTTTTTTTAAGTTCGACACCCTTTATATTTAAAACAATGCATTTCCGGACCAATATTTATACGATTTTTTTGTCTTGAAATCACCCAAATAATCATACTTTGAAGTTTGTCGACATCATGTCAACATACCTTAAAAACACCGAGAAAAAAAAATACGTACATAGTGATTCACCATAAATGTCCCCCCCCTCTAGCTCAGTTATTTTTGAACCGATTCTAAAATTTGAAATATCATCTTGAATGATTTTCGATAAAGTTTTTTTCCGCTAGATCAGAGAATACAGGGTGCTCGGAACAAACGATCTACAGGGTACTATTTGATTTTTTCAAATGGAACACCCTATTTTTCATTGTATTTTTAGATTCTCCCTGAAGAGCTGATTTGATCAATGTATCACACTTAGGGTCTAGCGGGACTGATTACAGAGATATAGGGTGTTCAAAATCGAGATTTTCAACTTTAGGATTTTTTTGTGACGAAACTATTCATTATCGGTTACGCGGTTTTCATGTCCGTATCTCGAATTTTGATTTACTATCTACTGACATTTAATAATTGGAACAGATACAGGGTGACCAGAATTCTGAATCTTGAACCACCCTGTATATGTTCCAATTAAATTTCACTAGATAGTAAATCAAAAGTTGAGATGGGAACATAGAAGCCGTTTTGACCAATAATGAATAGTTCCGGCACAAAAAAACCCTAAAGTTGGAAAATCTCGATTTTAAACACCCTATATCTCTGTAATCATTCCCGCTAAACCCCAACTGTGATGCATTGATGAAATCAGCTCTTCAGGAAGAATCTAAAAATACAATAAAATACAGGGTGTTCCATTTTAAAAAATCAATTAGTACTCTGTAGATCGTTTGTTCCGAGCACCCTGTATTTTCTGATGCAACAGGAAAAAAATCCCTGAAAAATCATTTTAGATTATCTTTCAAATTTTCAAAACGGTTAAAAAATAAGTGAGCTAGAGGGGGGGACATTTATGGTGAATCACCCTGTACATTGAGAATTCGCATTCTCTATCTGATAGAAATATGATTTCTTTTTTGGTATATTCAACAGAAAACAACTACTTTCCTGGCTATATGCCACGAAGAACATTGAATTACCTATCGAACACACACGCAATGTTAAATATAAATATATATGTATACAGGGTGTTCCTTAAAGACATACTAATATTTGAGGGGGGAATTTTTTTACTCATTTTAGGAATAAAACTTCATATGAACGAATGGCTTAAAAGTCTCAACTTTTGAGATACTGGGTGATGAAGTTTTGAAAAATATTCAGTTTCTTGATGATAACTGAGACAATATTGTATACATTTTCATGAAATTTGGTACATGTATTTCATGCATCAAGGTGCATTTTATGATGTACACAAATTTTCATTTCTCTACCAGTGGCACCGTTACGGAAATATTATTGTTAATATGAGCAACGACGGAAAATTTCCCAATTTCGTACAATGATATAAAAGGCTTTTCAAATATGTACAAAAAAGATCCTCTTGTTGAAACTCGATAGAACGTTCCGTTTTAGAGAAAAAACGGAAGAACCATACCAGACTTCAAAGGACCCCGCACCGCAATAGGGGGGAAATTGGCTTTCGGTGAATTTTCTCGAATTTTGGATATATCGTAGAACTCGTGATGCTGATCAGATGTTCCAATTATAAACGCTCTAAATTCAATAGTTTGGGTTATACAGGGTGCTGAAGTTGACTTTTTCAAAATTTCTAATAGCCATTGTGAAGTTTCCTTTTTGAATACCAAAATCAAATCGACTACGTTTTGTTTGTTCATATGGCCGGGAAAAATCCACTATAGAGTTCAATGATATCTGCACGTACGTACTCACGATATACAGAATTGGTCCAAAAATAGCAAATGTTCAATTATTTCAGAAAAAGTGAGCGGTTGAAATCAATTCATTTTTGGACATTTCGTAGTATACTAATGTCAACATCGATTCATGATAATTGCATTTCTTGAATCAGACTACATATTATACACAAGATGTTCAAGTTTCTATGAAACCGCACCCGTCCTGATATACATATCCATCGAATGATTGGAATCCCGTAAAACTTGGTTATGAAGTTGATAATTCGTGATGACAATATTTTATGCAAATACCTGAATTATACAGGGTGGTTGTGAAAGTAGTAGTAGTAGTAGTAGTGGTAGTAGTGGTAGGTAATCGAATAAAATTATCGAATGTGTCCGTTGTCGAATTAATCTCTCATCTCATCTCATCAAGAAATGCAATTATTATGAATCGATGTTGAAATTAGTACACTACGAAATGTCTAAAAATGAATTGATTTCAACCGCTCACTTTTTCGGAAATAATCGGAACATTTGCAATTTTTGGACCAACTCTGTATATCGTACAGATATCATTGAACTCTATAGTGGATTTTCACCGGCCACATGAACAAACAAAACGTAGTCGACTTGATTTTGGTATTCAAAAAGGAAACTTCACAATGGCAATTCGAAATTTTGAAAAAGTCAACTTCACAATGGCAATTCGAAATTTTTAAAAAGTCAACTTCAGCACCCTGTATAATCCAAACTATTGAATTCAGAGCGTTGATGATTGGTACATCTGATGAGCATCACGAGTTCTACAATATATCCAAAATTCTAGAAAACTCACCGAAAGCCAATTTCCCTCCTATTGCGGTGCGTGGTCCTTTTGATGTCTGAGTACTCCATTCAAGCCATCCATTACTGGATAACCACAGTATGTAACAATTTGAAATTTTGTTACCGATTAAGTAACATAGCAGACTGCATTTTGCCATCAGGAAAAGATACAGGGTGGACAAAAAAGTATCTATGCATATTTTCAACATTGATCCCCTGTATCTCAAAAGTTAGGACTTCACGAGATACGTTCATATCAAGTTCAATTCTTGAAATGGGTTGAATAACTAGCCTTGGAAAAGAGTTGGCGATCGCTGAAGTTGAGTTATGGTAGTTGAGAAAAATTTGATGAAATATTTTTCATCATAGAATTCAAGTAATTTATTTACACTTTTTAGTGCGTCAGAATCGGACATTGAATAACGGTGCTATTTATCGAGGCATTTTTCGTTAGTCACCCTGTTCATTAGGATCGTATGAAAAAAAAAAGATTGATAACATCGTTGGGTTATTTATGACTGTATTATTTTGAGTTACTGAGCTGTTTATTATTATATTCGAAATCCTACATACAAGTTGTACTAAGTGTAGGAAGACAGTCATTAGGTATTACTCATGTTGAATTATGGATGACTATTATTACATTCGAAATACTTTTCGGGCTTGACCAACACAATAATTTTATCGACTATAAAATAAATATGAGCTGTTCCATTCACGCATAATTTTCATCAAGGTGCAAATAGAAGTGTTTTGTACATACAGTGATGAGCAGGACATTGATGAGAAATGTACAAGATTTTTTTATTCAAGGAATGATGAAGTCGAATACATTTGAAGAAAACATCCCACTGAACAATATACATATAACAAAAATATTTTCCAGTTATAAGTTTTGTTGATATTTTTGAAATAATGTTGCTATAATGTCCTTCTGAAGTATCCAACATAATATAATGAAGTAAAACGTTTATGAGACGTTGCATCAATATTGACATCAATATCATTAGATAATATTGTGATATATTGATTCAGGTTTATCAGATATATCTCAGACAGAGATTTTATGTTATTTGTGCAACGTTTTCGTTTCACCACCTTATAACGTAGCTCACTACGTGTATAAGGGCATAATATTCATTCTTCTGCGGCAAACTGTCAAAAGCCAATACAGTTCCATTCCAGCCATTTTGTTTGTTGTCTCTATTATGGTGAACAGGCCAAATTGTGTGATTACTGAAAATATTGATTTCCAGATATTATTCGTAGTTATTAAAGTAAGTTAAGAACTAAACAAGTCTTGAACTCAGATAAATTCGAAAGAAAATATAAATTGCTGATGATAACTATACTTAGATTCCAGGTTTGCTCTGCTGGAATATAGCAATATATGCAACCAATATGTACCTGTATTTCATTATATGTGTGAAAGTAGGAGGGATTCGCGGACACGGATTGTGTTCATATTTCACGGATTACAAAAATAATAATGGGTAAGTTATATATGATAGCTAAAAGAAGAACATAGAATAGAATTTCAAAATAATTCAGGAAACTTCCAAAAAGTCGTATAGGTATATATTTACCTATTACTTTTCAGAATTCCAGTAAGAGATCACTGGATTATGCAGAAATCATATAGCTGGACTGACTGGATTTATGAAGCAGTATAACTAAAACGATAATAAGAAAGATTGTAGTTATAATCTGTCTCAAAATATCACTGTGCAACTGGATCATACTTATAGTCTTTCAGGAGTATGGTAAGATCAATTCATATTCAGGGATAGATCATCTCCTCTGTCTTTTCTGAAGATCATTCAGTTGATTTTCTTGATGATTCCAGACAAAATGGGCATAACCTAAAAACTCCTAGAAACTAATTAGAATGTTAATATACAATATATTGTTTAGATGTTCTGAGTATCATTAAATATACGTTATGAAGTAACATTGATTTTATGTGATTCCTGATATATTTATATAATATTTACCATCAACTACATTGTAACATTTAAAAGAGGCACAAAGGACTATTCCCACAACGTATCAGTGACATTAAGCGCATCTCTCTGAATAACATCACAAAGTAACAATGTAATATAACATTTAGGTTTAAGAATAATGTTTTCATGTTTAGTGGGATTTGATTGGAATAAACATAGTGTTGCTGTTTCGCAACAATTTAGTCTATGCGCATGACTTGTCTGTGTCCTGTCCATACAGACACCTTTGTGAAAACGAGTTGTTTCTTATTTACATAACCTTTCGTTTAAACAACAGACATTTGGACTTTTTGTGTCTGGCCCGTCAGATCATAAAAAATACTGAATCAATCAAGAAAGTGCGTATATCATATCTAGGATCTATTCAAATGTTGATGGGCTATATTTCACGCACTGCAGGTGTTGGTTTAGATACATATAATTTCCTCATTCGATCTGACAGTTTGGTGGTATTTTTTTAATTAGATTCACAATTTATCACGCATGAAAAAACTAAGGGACATTTAATAACTCCAACATATTTCGTTGTGATTATCTGGGTTAAATTTGAGTTCGAAAATGACTATACCAGGTCCATAATATTATCCTAAGGATGCATCGCACGTAAAAAAGTGTAATCTAACTGAAAAACTAGTGTGCAAAAATGTAGAATCTTGATGCATATTGGTGTTCTTACCTCAATAAGCTTTCCATGTCTTTTTGTTGTACGTCCCTGAGAATGACGATGGGATGTCGACAGGGATTGGCTTTCAATAGTCTCCTGAAGTAGGGGCTACACGCCGACAGCACCACCTTGTGGGCTGTAAAGGAACACCCGTCACAAGCCAGCGTCACATCTACGAAGTCCTCCTAATAAAAATATCATAGACTAGCAGACCTCGCAAACGTTGTTTTGCTATACAGGGTGTCCCTAAAAGGTGCGGAAAAAAGCTACCACAAGTTCCTGAAGCGTGAATATGACGATCTAACTCAACTTACCTCAGTCCAAAAGTGGATGATTTCAGAGATACAGAGTGTCAAAAGTTCAATTTGATTTTCATTTTTTATAAATATTTTTTTTAATAATTGGTGTATTGTCACAATATTCGGCTTAGGGGGGTTTTGCTGGTTGAGAAATTATAATTTGCTATCATTTTTATTGTAAAGTCAAGAGGGCGCCACCTGCGGAACCTTGCACACATTTAAAACGAAATAACTTTTTTGAGCCACCCCATATTCAATTTTTAAATGAGAATTCGGATTGTCCAACGTATTTTACATAAAAAATGTATACGTGGTAGGAGTTGATTTGAGCAGCTGTTTTTGAGATATCTGGATTTTAAAAATTCACTTCGTAAATGGCCAGGTCTAAATTATTGTAATAAGAAAATTGAACACATTTGAAGCGTAGGCAGTGAATTAAAATAACGTCACCAAAAACTTAGAAAAAAAAAGAAGAAGGTACATAAATGTGTTGGTTATTTTATTCTCTAATGAAAATAGTCAATAGGAATAGGAGATTTAATAACAACAAAAATTTAATTTAATTTAATTAAAAAAAAAATATGCTGAGTTTAGGATTGAAGGTTTTATGGTTTGGTAAGCGACGATTAGGAAATCTTTCACTGTATACTTGTATGCAAGATTCTAAATCATTTCCCTGGCAATATCCAAAAACCAATAACATATCGGTAATTTCTTCGTTGGTATACATTGCGGCCATGACAAAAAAAACTTTATTATTTGTTTGACAATTGTCTTGACTTGTTTTTTAGATTCGATTTGACCCAAGTCAGTTCTTAGTGACGTTATTTTAATTCACCGCCTACGCTTCAATTTTATTATTACAATAATTTAGACATGGCCATTTACGAAGTGAATTTTTAAAATCCAGATATCTCAAAAACAGCTGCCCAAATCAACTCTTACCACGTATACATATTTGATGTAAAAGGCGTTGGACAATCCGAATTTTCATTTAAAAATTAAATATGGGGTGACTCAAAAAAGTTATTTCGTTTTAAATGTGTGCAAGGTTCCGCAGGTGGCGCCCTCTTAACTTTACAATAAAAATGATAGCAAATTCTAATTTCTCAACCAGAAAAACCCCCCCAAGCCAAATATTGTAACAATACACCAATTATTAAAAAAAATATTCATAAAAAATGAAAATCAAATTGAACTTTTGACACTCTGTATCTCTGAAATCATCCACTTTTGGACTGAGGTAAGTTGAGTTAGATCGTCATATTTACGCCTCAGGAACTTGTGGTAGCTTTTTTTCGGCACCTTTTAGGGACACCCTGTATACATCATTTCTATAATATATTTTTTCAGTTTAATATTCATCAAGACACTATTATTATTTTATTTTCTACTTCTTTCTGGTTTCGCTATCTATATAAAAGCGCGTTTCTGTAGTTTTTCAAACTATCATTTATTTCAACTTCTTTTTAGTTCACTTGAATTTCCCAATTTTGACGAAATAATCATAATATGCGACTCCTAAAACCCCAGATGAAAATTTTGTATAGAATCGAAACATAATTACAAAACTCGCCCGCAATATTGGATCTACCATCTTGAATTCCCTAATTTTGACGAAGGAATCATAATTTTTTATCCCAAAAACGCTCACTTACAAATTTTGAATAGAATCGGTATATAATTTAAACTCGTCCGGTATATTGGTTCCACCGTCTTGAATTTCCAAATCTCGCCCTTTCCAAATTTTGACAAAAGAATCATAATCTCCGATCCCGAAAACACCCAGATAACAATTTTGAAGAGAGTCGGATCATAATTACAATACTCGTCCGCCATCATATTGGGTCCGCCATCTTGAATTCATTAATTTTGATGAAAGAATCATAATCTCCGACCCCGAGAACCACCAGATACCAAATTTGAATAAAATCGGATCATAATTACACAATCCGTCATCTTGGATCACGGAAACCTCTAGGTACCAATTTTGAAAAGAATCGGATTATAATTACAAAACTCGTCAAAACTCGTGCTGGTTCCGCCATCTTGAATTTCCAAATAACGCGCGAATTTTCAAATCAACATACGCTGAGACTCTCAGAGAAAAACCATTGGCCTAGTGGTGATGCCACACTCACTAACTCTTTGACATCATTGCAACGCCGCAGCAAAGTATCGTTAGAAAAGTGAAATGTCACTTTTCTAAAGATACTTCCACTCGTGGCTCGAACTTCCACGAGAAATGTTCTTGGATTTCCTTGAATTTCCTTATGTGAAGTGCGATATATTCCTGATGGTCTACAAAAAACCGGGATTCCTTAATATTCCTTGGAATTCTTTGGATTTCCTTGGAATTCTTTGGCTGGAGTGTGGTATAATTCTGGTGTACGAACAACTGGAATTCCTTGGATTCCCTTGGATTTCCTTGAAATTCCTTGGATTTCCTCAAAATTCTTTCGATTTCCTTGGATTTTCTTGGAATTCCTTGGATTTCCTGGGATTTCCTTGGAATTCTGGAGTTTCTTGTGAAATTGAAGTTTTACGAGAAGTTTTATGTGCACAATTTCGATAGCGGTTTACCCCTCGTGAATGTTATATTCGTTATGCACGAAGAATTGGTAGAATTCGTAAAATTCGTTGAATTCGTAAAAATTTTTGAATTCGTGAAACTAAGATTCGTAAAACTCATAAAATCCGTAAAAGGTTTTAAATTAGTAGAAATTTTTAATTCGTGAAATGAGTACCTATTTTGTAAAATCTGTGAAATTCGTACAAAAAGTAATATTCGTAAAATTCGTAAAATCAGTAAAATTCGTAAAATTCGGGAAATTCATAAGATGCGTTAATTCGGGAAATTCGCAAATTCCACTACTCACCTCGTCGCGCAGGTGCCGGAACGACGACAATATACTCGAATGGAAGTCGTTCCAGCGCAGCGAGTACTGCTGCTCGGGCGACGTTTCGACCCCCATCGGGCAGGAGGGCGAGGGCGCTATCTCTACGCCAATGGTGGAGCCGTCAGGGGGTTGGGAGGGGGGGAAAAGCGCGGATTCCACCGTGCCCTTTTTGTGTCGCTAGCTGCCGAGCGGCATCTACGCTGCTGGCTTCTTACGGCCGCCTGGCGCACCGGATTGGCGTCCTATCGAGCTGTTCGACGGTCTAAGCGTCGGTGGTCATCGTGGGTGGGTTATACGGGGCACTGGAACAAAATAAAAGGAATGATAAAGTGATTTGATAACGGAAAACGAAAATAGTAGATTGTTTTATTAGGATCGAAAGTGACACTTTGTTTTACAAGCGAATTTTGCATTTGCGAGGCGGAGCGTTTAGCGAAGCCGAGCGAAAGCAAAATTTGCGAGTCAAACGAAGTCCCTTTTTTATCCGAATGAAACATGCTATTTTTTCTGCAACCGAAACAATTAACTCAAATGAATATGTGAAGTAACCAGCATCAATGCCGTGCCATATGTATGCAATGCAACAAATTCTCCGTGTGGTGAGAATATTCTTTCTGCATTAACAGCAGGTTTATTCAATTTTCAAGGATATTCGAATGGAAGTTTTAATATAAATACAACCACGTGACCCATTTTTGTATGGACCAGGTGTCAGCCCTCCCTTGCCAATGTGTTCCAGAGCCTCGCTGTTCGTTGAATGAACGAGTCTTTGGAAAGAGATGTTCTGCAGGTCTCCAAAGTGACCACGAATGGGTGCGAAGCCTTGACTCGACGGGTTAATCTCACGAGGACTGCCAAGGAAGGAACAATTGTTGATATTTCAGAAGAGCATCGTCCATGAAAATATCTATAAAATACAGACAGATCGCCAACTTTTCTACGGTGTCCCAGAAAAGTGAGTGAGTTTGTGAGCGAGGCATCACCCACGAGACAAATTGCCCTTTTTTGGACAGAATCCAACAGTTTCAGGGTATGTTTGGGTCTGCACTCCAAATATGGGAACAGTATTCCAGGACAGGTCGGATCTGTCGCTTATAGATCATAAGCAGCTGACTGGAAGTGAAATAGCTCCTGGCCCCAAAACAGAAAATCAAGTTTTTGGGATGCATTTTTAGCAATTGATATCACGCGATTTCCCCAAAAAAGATTATTGCTGATATAGTAATACCAAGCATCGAAATGGATGTGTCAGTGAGATCGGCTTTTCTAGAGAGAAGGCATGCTTGTGTTTTGTTTGCATTGAAATCTACCAAGTTATTGGATCCCCATTCGAGAATAAATTGTTGTCAACATTTCTTCCTCGTTCGTTTATGATTTGCCTGGCTGGTACTGGAGCCCTGGAAGAGAAGGCGGTATGGAGGATACTATCATCCGCGAAGCTGTGTACTGGACATGAAGTTGCTTCCAACAAATCGTTGATATGGAGTAGAAATAGTGTTGATGCTAGAATCTATCCTTGCGGAACACCAGCATTCATGATAAGAGAGTCAGATGAAACTCTGTCGACCACTACATGGAATCAGTGTGAAACCAGCCACGAGTTCCAGCCACGACTTCGCCTAATATTCGCCAATGATATGTATATCTCACAATATTTTGTCGGGCAAGAATTAACCCCATAGGCCCCCTTTTTCGGAAATTCGAAAAAAATTCATAACTTTTTCGAAATACACGTGGATGGGAGTTTTTTTCTATGAATGTGTTCCTCTGATGGTACTGAATAATATGTATATCTCACAATATTTTGTCGGGCAAGAATTGACCCCATAGGCCCCCTTTTTCGGAAATTCGAAAAAAATTCATAACTTTTTCAAAATACACGTGGATGGGAATTTTTTTCTGTCAATATGTTCCTCAGATGTTACTCAATGATATGTATATCTCACAATATTTTGTCGGGCAAGAATTAACCGCATAGGCCCCCTTTTTCGGAAATTCGAAAAAAAATCATAACTTTTTCAAAATACACGTGGATGGGAGTTTTTTTCTATTAATGTGTTCCTCTGATGGTACTCAATAATATGTATATCTCACAATATTTTGTCGGGCAAGAATTAACCCCATAGGCCCCCTTTTTCGGAAATTCGAAAAAAAATCATAACTTTTTCAAAATACACGTGGATGGGAATTTTTTTCTATGAATGGGTTCCTCCGATGGTACTTGATAATGTGTATATTCTATATGATATAGATAAAGCATATATATTAATTTAATATATAGAAAAATATATATGACCGGGGTTTTTCTACATAATTTTATCATAGTGAAATACGTACTTGATAGTATAACTATAGTGAATTATTCCAATACCTGTCTAGGATTGAAATACACATTATAGATAATTTGAAACAATGTTCATGTAAGTTAACCCAAAATAATCAGATAGTCCTTAAGTACCTTTAGATTTCTTCGAAAATTACCGGATAGGGATTAACTTCAGGATGTCAACAGTATCGGGTGTGACCGCGGTAAGATTTAAATCTTGGTCCCTTGTAGATTGACCTAACTCAATCTTTTTTGGCACAAACAAAGGTTTAATCCTTTGTGAATCTGTACTACAAAACCTATTTGCTCATATAAATATACATAGGAATATATGAATCATTTCATTTTATTTTTGAATGGCCTGATGTTCAGTGTGTTTTACAATTTCAACGTGTATTTTGAACAAGTTATGATTTTTTTTCGAATTTCCGAAAAAGGGGGCCTATGGGGTTAATTGTTGCCCGACATAATATTGTGAGATGAACATATCATTGAGTACCATCTGAGGAACATATTCATAGAAAAAAACTCCCATCCACGTGTATTTTGAAAAAGTTATGATTTTTTTTCGAATTTCCGTAAAAGGGGGCCTATGGGGTTAATTCTTGCCCGACAAAATATTGTGAGATAAACATATCATTGAGTACCATCTGAGGAACATATTCATAGAAAAAAACTCCCATCCACGTGTATTTTGAAAAAGTTATGAATTTTTTTCGAATTTCCGAAAATGGGGGCCTATGGGGTTAATTCTTGCCCGACAAAATATTGTGAGATATACATATTATTGAGTACCATCAGAGGAACACATTCATAGAAAAAAACTCCCATCCACGTGTATTTTGAAAAAGTTATGATTTTTTTTCGAATTTCCGAAAAAGGGGGCCTATGAGGTTAATTCTTGCCCGACAAAATATTGTGAGATATACATATTATTGAGTACCATCAGAGGAACACATTCATAGAAAAAAAACTCCCATCCACGTGTATTTTGAAAAAGTTATGATTTTTTTTCGAATTTCCGAAAAAGGGGGGCCTATGGGGTTAATTCTTGCCCGACAAAATATTGTGAGATATACATATCATTGAGTACCATCTGAGGAACATATTCATAGAAAAAAACTCCCATCCACGTGTATTTTGAAAAAGTTATGATTTTTTTTCGAATTTCCGAAAAAGGGGGCCTATGAGGTTAATTCTTGCCCGACAAAATATTGTGAGATATACATATTATTCAGTACCATCAGAGGAACACATTCATAGAAAAAAACTCCCATCCACGTGTATTTCGAAAAAGTTATGAATTTTTTTCGAATTTCCGAAAATGGGGGCCTATGGGGTTAATTCTTGCCCGACAAAATATTGTGAGATAAACATATTATTGAGTACCATCAGAGGAACACATTCAAAGAAGAAAACTCCCATCCACGTGTATTTCGAAAAAGTTATGATTTTTTTTCGAATTCCCGAAAAAGGGGGCCTATGGGGTTAATTCTTGCCCGACAAAATATTGTGAGATATACATATTATTGAGTACCATCAGATAAACACATTCATAGAAAAAAACTCCCATCCACGTGTATTTTGAAAAAGTTATGAATTTTTTCAGAAAATCCGAAAAAAGGGGCCTTCGGGGTTAATTCTTGCCCGACAATATGTTGTGAGATATACAGATTATCATAGACCCTCAAAGAAAATCATTGATGTAAAATAGTTTCATCCATGGACATAATTTTGAGGTTTAAGTAATTTCATGGCCAGCCATGAATATAAATTGATAATGAATGACCATTGGTGGTATGGCGCGCGCCTTGAATATTAGGCGAAGTCGTGGCTGGAACTCGTGGCTGGTTTCACACTGATCTACATGGAGAGACCTGGTCGATATAATGTTTTTTTGAACGATTTTCAAGCTTCAATTGAACACCAGTCGGGTGATTTTTTCACGGGGCAAGTTTGTTCAAATAACTACATAATCACGAAACGTGGTTCTCTGCAAGAAGCAAGTTGTTATACTACACAGTGCGATATACATACGGTTGCTTTCATATGGGAGACTACCTAATCTAATACACCATTTTCATTCTAAATCTAAGGTAAATCAGTAGTTCCCACACTATTTTCGGTCTTTAATTATATAAATAAATAATATTAATTACTGTAAATTACCGGAGAAAACGAGACGATTAAAAATAATGATCGACATATCTCGGCATCTTAATACCATTCATACCAATCATACCATCATTGTTTTGAACTTGAGGATCAGAAGGTAATTTCTCTCCCTCTCACTTAACGTTTGTATTAGCAGTAAATGAAAAAAAAAATGCAATGGATCGTATCTGTGTCATTATTGTATGGCTTCGATATTGTTTTTTCTTGGGTTATAGGTAATCGGATGAAATAAAAGCTCCCATGAAAGTATTTATCTACGTATACATAATCATTGGAAATTTTAATTAATATCTTCACTCGATATACCTATATACTAACTGAAATTATCTGGTGGCAAAACACCTTGCGAAACACGAAAGTTGAATTTGACGATGTAATGTATAATCGCAGTAAAATAATCATTAGGTATAACAAGCGCAAATGAAATAACATTCAATTTTTTTCATCATATGTCACATTTGGAATAATAATAGATTGTTTTATTAGGATCAAAAATGACACTTTGTTTGACAAGCGAATTTTGCATTTGCGATGTGGAGCGTTCAGCAAAGCCGAGCGAAAGCAAATTTTGCGA